CGCGGTCAAGTGCGCGGTCCGCGCGAAATGAAGACCTGCAGGTCGTCGGTCCAACTTCGGAAGGTCATATCTTTTGATCTACAAGGATTTTGAGGTGATTCAAAAACGAAAGTTGTAGCGCTTCGTGTCTAGTTTCCAGAAAGGTAAAGATATCGTAATTTGGACATCTGTAGCGAAAGTTATGGCCAAAATACTAAAGCCTGTCCCTGCAGAGCAAGACCTGCGCGGCCGCGGTTGTTTTTGTGCGGACCCCGTTGGTTTTGCACGGACCGCGGTCATTTTTGTGCGGTCAGCGGTGTCGGAATCCGAGGGGTACTCTATAAATACGAGGTTTTGGGTTTTATTTGATATTTTGACCTAGAGAGCTCGGATTTTGGCGATTTTTCGAAGGTTTTTCAAGAAATTCATCGGGGTAAGTGATTTTAACTCAGATTTGGCTAGAATACATGAATCTATCACTGAATTCATCATTTAATTCGTGATTTGAGATGGTTTTTCAAGAAATTCATCGGGGTAAGTGATTTTAACTCAGATTTGGCTAGAATGCATGAATCTATCACTGAATTTATCATTTAATTCGTGATTTCATAAAGAAAACATTTACCACCTTGTTTGTGCATTTTTACCTCACTAAAACTGACGATTTCTCCGATAACATTTAAAGAAAAAGAAGATGTTAAAAGAAATTGCAGAAAAGTTCATAATTAGAAATTTAAGGTAAAAGTTATTATTACCGAATAATTCAGTCTCATTCACATCAACGTTATTTATCAATTGATCATACGGTCGTAGATCAAAGATATTCATAGGGAAAAATGGATCAGTTGTTTCAGTCACTGTTGTTCGTTGAGTAAATGTCAACCTAAACCTACGTTTTGTGGTGTTGAACCTCTCCTTATTTTGACAAACGATAAAGTTCGCCATAAGATATAAATCAAGCTCATTAATTTGTGTTTTAAAAAGAGGCAAAACTGACTTTCCAATAAAAGCATGTATCCGATCGCCCTACAAAAAATTACATTAAATAAAAGAAATAGTTTGAATGAATTAGTAACACAATAATTCCAAATTAACTCATATAAATCTTGCAACTTAATCACATAAAAAACAAAAAAGTTCTGACGAATTAGCCACACAAAAAATCCAATATAAGTTTACTGTATAAGGTCTGATGAATTAAATAAAAAAACCAATATAAGGTTTGACGAATTACACTATTTACTGTATTGACTAAAAAATCTAGATTAACTCGTACAAATCTTGCAACTTAATCACATCCAAAAAGAAAGTTTGGATGAATGTGTGAAGTGCCTCTTAAAGAGAAAGGGAGAAAATAAAGAGATACGTCCCCAAAAAACATAGCAAAAACTCCAAATTTTTACGTTTCAATAATAGAGTTGAATGAATTAGTTAGTCTCATAAACAGAGGAACTATTTTAAAATTGAAAATTAATAGTACTTTTATCCTGTTAGAGTTGAACGAATTAACAACTCAAAAACACAAAGCAACAAATTGAAATTTGAAATTTACGAAAGAAAGAGCAAAACAAATTAGTAAGAAAATAACAAATTTTGAAGACCTTTTCATCTTGTAGAACCAATTTATCGAGAATGCAATGTCTGAATTATAACGATCTGGTACTTCCTACAAACGAACAACCCGAACTTTCAACTTCCATTGCATTTTTGAAATAGTTATATCCTTAATGAAATCACTGTGAGTTGCCATTCTTTGCATCAGTCGTAGGTTTTCTTTGATTTTCGATAGCAGTAGGAAGATTAGAATTGAAGTACCGTGTAAGTTACTGATATGAAATATAATTTGCAGTTTGTGCAGTAGTTACCGAGTAGTGGGTTTGAGTCGTTAGTTTCAATCGTGGTTGAGATAGTTGAGGACACTCTGTTATTTTGCAGAGAAAATTTAGGGCAAGTGGAAGTTAAAAGGTTTTTAATTAATACAAGTGAGGCATCGCCAGTTTGGAAAAGTTCATTTTCAATCGTGCGCATGTTTGTAAGTTTCAATGTGTTTTGAGGTTTTGCAGAGGAAAGTGGGTTCTGCATTTAGGGAAAAGTGGGTTATAAATCAAGTTTCTTTTTTAATGTTAAAGAGCGAAAGACGTATATGTTTTAAAATCAGTTAACTTTTTAAAAATAAAAAAATCTGAAATTTTGAATTAAATAAAAATCTTTTCTTGGAAGAAAAATTTACGGTCTTCATGGTTCAAAAGTTGATGAATTTTGAAGGAGCTTTTATTTCCAAATAATTTTGAATTAGTAAATTTTCTTAAAAATAAATAAATCTAAAATTTTGAATTAAATAAAACTATTTATTGGTCTTCATGGTTCATAATTAAAGAGTCAAAAATGTATGTTTTAAGATATGTAATTTTTAAATAATAATCTAAAATCAGATTTTCTTTTTAAATTTAAAGATTAATAAATATATGCTTTAAAATCAGTTAAGTTTTTAAAAATAAAGAAATCTTTAATATTTTAAACTAAAAGATTAGGAAAAGTGGGTTCTAAATGTGCAATTTAATTTTTAAATAAAAATCTAAATCAGTTTTCTTTAAAATTAAAGAGTAAACCATGTATGTTAAAATCAGTTAAATTTTTAAGATGTATGCTTTAAAGTCAGTTATTTTATTAAAAATAAATAAATCTGAAATTTTGAATTAAATAAAGCTCTTTAAAATAAAAAGTTTGGTCTTTGTGATTCAAAGTTAAGGAGTCAAAAACGTATGTTTTAAAATGTGCCATCAATGTTTAATTTTTAAAAAATAATATAAATCAGATTTCCTTTTTAATTTTAAAGATTAATAAATGTATGCTTTAGAATCAGTTAAATTGTTAAAAAGAAAAAATCTTTAATATTTTAAAAATAAAAAAATCTGAAAGTTTGAAGGAATTTTCAAAATAACCTTCCAGCTCCTATTTTTTTGGAGGATTGTCCTAAAGTGCCAGGTGGCTTATTATGATGATGCCACTTGGCTTAATGAGGAGGCTTCTTCCTCTCTTTTTAATTATAAATAAATTTAAAGATTAATAAATGTATGCTTTAGAATCAGTTAAATTGTTAAAAAGAAAAAATCATTAATATTTTTAAAATAAAAAAATCTGAAAGTTTGAAGGAATTTTCAAAATAACCTTCCAGCTCCTATTTTTTTGGATGATTGTCCTAAAGTGCCAAGTGGCTTATTATGATGATGCCACTTGACTTAATGAGGAGGCTTCTTCCTCTCTTTTTAATTATAAATAGATAAGTGGATTAGGAACCATAAACTTTTAGGACTGGAGGTGGAAAAAATAACATTAGGTAATTTTTTTTATTTGTTCAAATTTTAATAGATACTAAATAAAATTACTCAAAAATTAATTGAAGCATGCGCAAATTGATATGAACAAGCACAGAGGCGGACCCATGATTTGAGAATGACGGGGGCACTATTATCGTTAGAGTGAATTACTCAATTGACCTGCGAACACAAACTTCAACTTCATCATACTCTCAAATTGACCTACTAACACAAATTTTAAAATAATTATTCCAAAAAAAAAAATTGCACATTCTTGCGCACACATGAACTAAACTGGAATAAACTTTAAAATGTAAACAAGCATAGTGGCCTCAATTCGTGACATACAACAGTAATCTATTGTTGTCCCAAAAAGATAACTAAAGAAGGCACAATTTAAATCAAAATACAAACTTCAATATTATAGAATATCTTTAATTGATACTAATAAAATAAAAGTACATCATCCACTTATACGTGAACTCGGCGCGTTCTCATACTCTGAAAACGGTCAATAATAACATCAATGCTTACATTTGCAAATACTTCTTTTTCAAAGTAACAAACTAAACAATCATTTAAAAATGCATCACCAATACTACTACGCAATTCATCTTTGATGTACTTCATGGATGAGAATGCTCTTTCTACCGTTGCAGACGCGACAAATAAAATTAGAGTCAACTTCACAAGTAAATAAACAAGTGAATATGTCTCCACAAGATTTTCTTCAACCAACGCTTTTGCCAAATCACCAATTCCTTTCAAATCCGAGAATCTAGGGTCACCGTGCTTCATGTGCCATATGAAAGTGTCAAGTTGGTGACTAAGATCTCGAAGCTTCAATTCACCAAACTCATCTGGATAATACTTGGCCAATGTTATTATTCTTTCCTTATCAAAATTAGCAAACGAATTAGCCGGATTCAAGCTAGCCATACCAAGAAGCAAGTTACCACTGACTACATCAAAACGACTTTTAAGCTCCTGAAGTTGCAAATAAATCACTGTATAAAAAAGCCCAACACATAAGTGATGTGAATAAGTAACACTAGAAGGCCTACGCTTCGACTTTCCAGGAATATAGAATTCTTCCATATTGGGCACCAAAATGTCATGTTTAGCACAAAACAAAGAGACTTCATCCATTAATGATTTCCATCCTTCATTTTTCATTTGTTGCAACCTTTCCTTTGTAAGGTCAAGAAATATCATGGCATTGGCAATATCTTGCTCTTTCTTCTGTAAAGCTTTACTCAGCTCGTTCGACATCAACAATACCTTCAACATCAAGTGAAACATGAACACAAATTCAAATGAATTGATTTTACTCAAAAACGTTTCTGCTTGCAATCAATCATTAGCCTCAGAACCTTCATATTCAATCACCCCAAGCACATGAACAATAGACGCAAATAAAACAAGAAAGTTATCTAATGTTTTACAATGTGATCCCCAACGAGTGTCACCTGGCCTTTGAAGCCCTCGTTCATGATTTAATCCTTTCCCATTTTGAACTTCACCACTCTCTACCAACCGTTCCAATAATTCTGCTTGATGGTCCCGAAGTTTATCTCTGCGTTTAAAGGAAGCTCAAATCACATTCAATACATTAGCAACTATAGCAAAGAAAGTTTCCACCTCCTTATGTTTTTTAGCAACTGCTACAAGTGTCAACTGTAATTGATGAGCAGAACAATGAATGCAATGTGCCGAAGGAGTTTCTTGTAAAATTAAAGCTTTAAGACCATTCATTTTTCCTTGCATATTACTAGCTCCATCATAGCCTTGTCCACGTATTTTGGATGGACTTAATGAGTGTTTCATAAGCAAAGAAAGTATTGCTTCCTTCAACGATTTTGCAGAGGTATCACCAACACGAACAAGACCAATAAATGGCTCGTTTACTTGGCCTTTTTTGTCAACATACCGTGAAGCAAGGGCCATTTGTTTATGGTGTAAAATATGCTTGGACTCATCAACTAATATCCTGAAATAATCCCCATCTAAATCATTGATTATAGCTTTCACGGTTTCTTGTGCACAAGCACTCACAATGTCCTTTTAAATTTTTGGCGAAGTCATCATGTCATTTTTGGTGCATGTTTCAATATGACTCTATCTACTTGAGGGAGTCTCTCTGCAAGCCATTCCAAAAGCCCTATGAAAAGGCCTTTGTTTTTTGAAGAATCACTTTCATCATGACCTCGAAAAGACAATCCAAAATACAAGAGGAACCTTGCAACATCGATTGATGCATTTAAACCAATTCGGTGCTCATTTCTTTGTTTCTCAGATTGCTTATTAAAAGCAACTTGAATTGATTGAGATTGATTTGATAAGTCTAACATCTTGTTGAAACACTTGTGGTGGAGGTTATTTACTTGACCAACATGTAAAAGAAGTCTTTCCGAAGCTTTATTCTAAGCCTTAAAGCCCGTTTTTGTGAAAGAGTTACCCGTGCTTCCATGAACATAATCATTTTGGAATAAATAACAACATAAACAAAATGCGGCATCTTTCTTCACACTATACTCCAACCATCTAGAATACGAACCTTTAAACCAACCCGGACTAAATTGACGCATTTTATTACCGAATAAAGTTTTAGGAAACTTATGATCAACCGGTTGGCAAGGTCCATTTTGAATGTAGTGTTTTCTTATTTCATCCCGTATTCTAGGACTATATTTATCAATAGGTAGTCTCTCTCCAGGATCGAGATTGAGTAATTTCTCATCAAACTCATCTATAAGATGGGAGAAATTGTTTCTAAGAGTAGAACTCGGTTGAGAAGAATTAAACTTCGTCAAAAATACGTCCATCTCAATTCATAAGAACAAGAACTTCCTACAAAAAATGAGTCCAATAAATTTAAGAGTCAATCAAGAATACAAACAAACACAATATCAATAGAGCAATCACACCCCTTTTATCAAGAATAAAACAAATACTTCAACTTATTGAATCTAATACTATAACTTTTTTGTGCAGCCATTTTATGGGATAAAAATTAAAAAGAATATATTGGATAAAGATAGTTTCAGTAAAAAAGAAAAAAGAATTCTAAAAAATATTTCATCTCAAGGAGTAGATTCTTCTCCTTATCATCAAATAACTGGATCAAAGATAAGAATAAGTGTGACGACCCAAAGGGTCATCACCGGTTTTCTCCCTTTTTCCGTGCTTCCGAGGCCTTGAAAACCTCACCTTTAGTTTCCACGAATTACGTGCGCAGTCCGGGCGCGTAGCTGGAAAAGCTTATGTGTTAAATTATGTGAAATTTGATAACTTGTGGCTTTAAAATGGTTAAAGTTGATTTTGGTCAATATTTTGGGTAAACTGAACCGGATCCATAATTTGATGGTCCCGGAGGGTCCGTAGAAAAATATGGGACTCGGGCGTATGCCCAGAATCGAAATCCGAGGTCCCGAGCCCGAGAAATGAATTTTTAAAAGAAATTGTTTTTCTGAAATTTATTTGGAAATTTGAAATGAAAATGGATTAGAAAGCATTGGTATCGGGCCCGTATTTTGGTTTCGGCGCCCGGTACAGGTCTTATATGTGGTTTAAGCACTTTCTATGAAATTTGGATGAAATCGGACGTCGTTTGACGTGATTCGGACTTGAATTCCTAAGTTTAAAAGTTTGATGAAAAAGTGATGATTTTGAGGTTTGATTCCTCGTTTATGATGTTATTTTGGCGATTTAATCGTATGGTTTAAGTTCGTAGGATGTTATTGAGTTAGTGTGTGTGTTTAGTTAGGAGCCTCGAGGGCTCGGGAGTGTTTCGGAAGTGTTTCGGAGTGGTTTTGGCCTTAGAAAAGTTGCAGAAAATAGCAGTTCTGGTGTTCTGTTATCCAGTGCTATGCGATCGCATAGGCCTTTCCGCGATCGCATAGAGTGAGTTTCCAGGTGCCCTGTTTGTTCTATGTGGTCGCATAGATCCTCCTGCGATCGCGTATAGTAGCAACCATTTGTTATATGCGATCACATTCCCCTTCCGCAATCGCAATGCATAAAAACCAAACCCGGAATGGAGCCTTTTTTCTTCTATGCATTCGCAGTAGCCCTTCCACGATCGCAATGACCAGCTTCCCCTTACCCTATGCGATCGCATTACCTCCTTCGCGATCGCATAGGGCATTTTTGCCCAGTGATTTTAAATACCCAAAACAGAACAGGGACGAGGTTTAGTCCATATTTCACACGAGTTCTTCTTCTCCACAACTCTTGAGCGACATTTTGAGCACTTCATCACCAAAGCTTATTGGGTAAGTAAATTCCCACTCATTTCCTTCATCTTTCTTCATTAATTAATGAGTTTCTAAACCTAAATCATGAAATCAAAGTAGAAATTAGGGGTTTTGGGTAGAGTTAGGTTTTTGAGAATTTTGAGTGATTCAACCTCAATTTGGGGTCGGATCTTAAAATAAATTATATATTTAAACTCGTGGGGTTATGGGTAATCGGGTTTTGGTCCGAGCCTCGTATTTGGACCATGTGGGCCCGGGGTCGAATTTTGGTATTTTTGGAAGAATGCTAGGAACTTCATATCTAAGCTATGGGATTTTGTTATCGAGTCTTTATTGATATTATTGAATTAATTATGCCTAGATATCGTTGTTTCGGAGTCGAATTATAAAGGAAAGGCGGTATTTGAGGGTTGATTGCTATTCTTTGGACAGAGGTAAGTGTTTGTTCTAACTTTGGTTTGAGGGAATAGGATTAGAGTATTGTTTGCTATTTGCTGATTGTTGAGTACGGTGTATAGGCATGGTGACGAGTATCTATACACTAGAGTCTAGCATGACCATGAGTCTTATTTGTGTTTCTTCGGATTTTGTGATATCTCTTCCTTGTTAAATTGATAAATTTCATATAATGTGAAGAGTTTGAGGAAGAATTATGATTTGTACATTCTTGGAGCATTGGCTCGAGTATATCATAAAGCGTGAAAGTATATGAAATGATTGAATCCCTTTGGAGCATTGGCTCAGGTGGTAAAGTGAGATAAGAGGTAAAAGCGAAAGAAAGAGAAAGAATTATTAAATTGCTCCCTTGCCGGGATGCTTGTTGTTTTGTTGACTATCTCCCTTGCCGGGATGCTGAGATTATTGATATTGTTCCCTTGCCGGGGTTTAACTACTTAATTGTGCTCCCTTGCCGGGAGTTAGCTATTTATTTGTATTCCCTTGCCGGGAATTCTATCATTATTTGTCTACTCCCTTGCCCCTTGTTTGTGATTTTTGCTTGGGTGAGGAAGAGTGATAAAGTACAAAGGGTGATGTCGTGCATTGTTTGCTATTGTGAGGAAAGAGTGTAAAGTATGAAGGGTGATGTCGTGCCACACGATGTACCATTCTGTGCCGATTTTATTGATTATATGGTGAGGAAAGAGAGTAAAAGCACAAAGGGTGATGTCGTGCATATTTTATTTATATGATTGCTTTGGTGAGGACGAGAGTAAAAGCACGAAGGGTGATGTCGTGCATTTGTTGCTTTCTGATTCTTTGTTGATATCCGAGTTATGTTGTTTCTTTCATTACTTGTTCTTATTTGATTTACTTCGAGGTTATAAATTTCCTTACCCTGTTTGCCTTGTGATTGTTGTTTGGGTGAGGAAGAGCGTAAAGCACGAAGGGTGATGCCGTGTATTGTTTTGGTGAGGAAGATAGTAAAAGCACGAAGGGTGATACCGTGCAAATTGTTGATTTTTAATTCTTGTTGACATTCTGGTTTTGTTACTTCTTTTGGTTATTGAGGATTTCTATTTGAAATTGTTATCTCCCCATAGCATGCTCCCCCCCTCTTAGCTGTTTAAATTCCGTATATTTCCTTTTATTGCATATATCTGCACAGGTTGTTTTTGGTAGGTCTTGTCTAGCCTCGTCACTACTTCGCCGGGGTTAGGCCAGACACTTACCAACACATGGGGTTGGTTGTGCTGATGCTACACTCTGTGCATCCTTTTGCACAGATCCAGGAGCAGCTTTTGGACCTCAGCAGTAGGATTTGATCGGGAGCTAACTTCAGTCCAGAGACACCGAGGTAGCCTTGCTGACGTCCGCAGGCCCGGAGTCTCTCTCCCTTTATTCAGTTTGTTATCTTTTGTACCGAAACAAATAGTTTATAATTTTCTTTCAGACGATTGTATTCAGTAAATCTTAGGAATTCGTGAGTATTGTGACACCAATCTTGGGTAGAGGATTATGTTAAACTTTCCGCATTTCTATTCAGTTCTTATATAAGTTAAGACTTTCGCTTGAAATTTTAGTTAAGTTGCCTTTATTTCATGTTGATTATTATGGAAAAGAATGTGTGTTAATTAGTAGGTAATGTAAGTTGGCTTGCCTAGCTCCTATTAGTAGGCGCCATCACGACCCCGAGGGTGGGAAATCCGGGTCGTGACAATAAGAAATGTTTGTTCTTGTTCTACTGACAAGGCCAACAATGATTCACCCGATAAAATCAAACTCAAGTCCCTCTAAAAAATTCTTCACTTAAAAAGAAAGTTAACAGAGAATTTCAAAGTAAGAGAAGCTTTAAGTTACAAATAAAAAATAAGTTTCAAAGTTAGAGAAGCACTAACCAGAGATTGAGGAAGAAGCGTACTCTATTTTGAAGTGAGAAGTGATGGAGGCGGACTGGTGGAGGCGAGCTTTGATTTTTGATTGAGGAAGAACGAAAGAAGTGAAGAAGAAGAACTGGGGAATCCAAGAAGGGGACTACCGATTGGGACTTTTGGGAATTGGGGCTTTTGACTACTATTATTTAATTATTAAAAGTTCAAAATATAATTGAATTGAGAATAGAAGAAATAAAAAATTATTAATTAGTCAATTTGACTAGTGACTAATAAATAGTACTATTGTACTAAGTAAAACAA